CCCCCCCCCCCATACATTACCTCCAGTGCGCATATAAACAAAAGAACCAAGTGAACTGGAAGGCGTGTGTGTAAGAGAGAGAAAGTACCTGCTTGGAGCCTCGATAGCACCAACATTTGTTTTTGCTAGCGAAAGCGAGATGAGCTTATCAGCTGGCAGACTATCCTATGCAGTAGATGGCAGTGAATTTCCCATCCAACCTCCACATAGAAGTAAAATGGCAAAAAACCGAGGAGAAAGTATGATCGAGCATCAGGGTGAAAAAAAGCAGTTGGCTTGAGGATTAGCGACCCCAGATCAAGAAGGGTTTCTAAATACTATCTGTTGAAAGTTAGTAACCCCCCCCCCCCACACTCTCATGAGTTAAAGAGAACAAGAGAGAGAGAGAGAGAGATCTACTGAAATCACATTAGGGTCACTTTGCGCAGTCAACTTACAGCTGTGACCTTCCAGGGTGAATGAGCGAGGTTGTGGTTAAGTTCTTTCAGTTGAAGCCATCTCGAGGGACCACTGGAAAGACCCAATGTCCAAGTTGGGTCGCCACCGGCTTGAAGAAAGTAGCGAACGAAGAGACAGACCAACTGAGGACAACGCATCTCCGCTGCAGCCTACAATATATATGGAATGCATGGATGCTTTAAGCTGAAGAAGTACCCGTTCCAGATTACGTTCGAAGTAAAAGTAGTAACTGATGTGTCTGACCAAGTGATAAAACCTACTCAAGACACGGCGATTCGAAGATGATTCATTTGGCCCCTTCCCCCTCTCCAAGTCGTTATAAAACCAAGCAATGAGAGATAAGTAGAGTCATTGCATAGTGGCATACCTGTTATCAATCCTTCAAGTTGAGCTTAGCAACCACTTCTAAACCATCAAGCCCCATACTATTGGAGCCTACTAGCAACAAGGAAACTCCTTTGTCCCTCCAACCATCAGCGACTCATGCTATGGTGCTTTTGAGCATGGCTTGTAGTAGAAAGTATGAAGAGCTATCATCAATGAGACGAGAAGGCCATTCATAGTAACGGTAATCTCCTCCAGCCCTGTTTGCTTACCAAGCTTTAATCAAGCTTTGCGGTAAAACTACGACAAGTTTATTCTTCTTAATGCCACGCGTCTATTCATTCTTTTTTGCACTCGTCTACATACACTGAATGATATAAGCCAATTTTTTTAAAACTATTAAATTAGTGCAGAGGTTTTATCATTCCTAGCCCATGTCATATCTCTAGTAAGTCAAAACACGCAGTAGATTTGTATGCTCAAGAAATTTCCTATATGCGTTTCAGTTCAAAATGACAGCTTTATTGTTAGTCAAAATGGCACGCCTATTGATTGATCATTGTGTTTCATTAAGCCAAGGAAGTCAAGCATTATAAAGCGTAACAACACTACACTTTTTTTAAGAGATTGAAAAGTTTACGCACACTTCTGATGTAATCGGTCTGTAACAATTTGAAAATAATAGAAAACATCTTCCCCCCCCCCCCCCTCCCTCCCTTCAAAGGGATCAAAATCGGCATTCTGTAGGTCATCCTTACTTCTGAAAAGATAAAACCTTCAACTTGAATGGATAGAGAAGGTACCGTAGGCATTGAAGGTAAGGTAAGATAGAAACCTCGCCAGGCAGCACGGAAGCATATGCTAGCAAGTGGACTAACAGAAAACCATGAGAGTTTGGGTCATGAATGAATCCAACCTAAACATGTTACCAGTGTAGCCCCTTTTAATACTTCTTGGTTAGATTTCCTGCCTTAGACTTGTAGACTCATGCCTTCAAAGCCAATATTGGCGCCCTTACATAAGTAGTTAAAATACGCTTCCAACAGCATCCTATGCATTCCCCCCCCCCCCTCCCAAATGCAGTTGGCCAACCATGTCCGTGGGCAAGCACTGATGAGCATCGATGTTGCTGGAAGAAACATTCTGAGGCTACTTCCATAAGAAACTCATACTCAAATACCCCTTTATTGATAGTTATTTCCCTTCCCTTCCAATGTCGACTTTATGACTTAGGCACTGCACCTTAAATGCACATTTATTTCTACACTTGGCATTCTAATTCCGGTAAATAGAAATGAGTGGCAGTTCAAGTGCGTTTGATGGACATCACAAAAGAGCAAGAGAGTTTCGTTGGAGGGCAATAAAGAGTGAGATGAATGTATATATATATATATATATATATATATGAAAGTGCGTAGATGATTTGACATCTGCGTATGACGCAAACATGTCTCAAGTGTGCAAGCGTGTGATCAGCGCAAGTGTGTGTGTGTGCGTTGTAGGGTCGAGTGAAGTGCAAACATATACACAAGTACAACAAATGACTACGTCCGTGTTGCGCAACAAATAAAAGCCAATAAGTGAAAAAAATGCGGCAGACTTAAGTGAATGAAAATGAGCAGTCCTTGAAATTTTCGTGGCAGTCGCCTGCAACACATCAACATCATTAGGTGACTTTTTGGATCACCTTAAACTAGAATTTAATTGTATGCTTTTTGGGGAAGATGGTCAACAATAATAATTAAGTAAATGGTTATTGTTACAATACAGTTCGAGGTGGATCTAGAAACTTTTAATAGTGCTCTACCTGATCAGCAGTGGTCGTGGATCAGAGTGGAATTCAGCACTTTGCGGAACTAGAGTTTCATAGTCTTCACTACTTACCATGTAAAGCATTAAACGCAATTTCTCGTGGAACTATACCTCCTCTCCCATATCACCATTTCCAAAAAAATCGCACACTAGACTCAATCCTCTTAGGCTTCAAAGAGGACGAGAGATGAAAGGTAGAAATACATTTCAAAGGCTATTTTCAAGCGATAGGAGTTAAATAATCTGCTGCATACACGCCCAGGAGACCACATAGCATTAGACAAGATTAGAGATAATGAAGAGCACAAATTAAGGCCTAGGGCTCTTCACAAGGTGACCTGACTAATTGAAACTAAAAAACTTCCCAATCATCAACGGGAGATAAACGCGTAGGCTTTTGGACTTTCTACTAGCTATACAGATACATTACATGCTACCAAAATTCATTATCTCCTTGATACGAATATTGACTTAGTCATTTGACTTCCGATAGGAGCGAATTGAGCGATAATCAGCCAACTACCTGAGACATTTCATTATCAAGAAGGAAAGGAGAACTGGTGATTGCTGCAAACCGAAGAGACATCCAACATTTCTCAACTTCACCCTCCCTTGCATAAGTTAGTCCTAGGGTTGACACTTTTACACGTCTCCAATTATTTTATTTACCATAGGGGGGGGGGGGGGGGAGGGTGGTAGAAAGGACTGACTTGAGAAAAAGAAGAAGAAGAAGGAATGTAATCAAGAGCCATCATTGGGAGGAACTCACACACTTTATCACCTCGTTGATCAGAATTAACCCAGCCATTTGGCAATCCACTTCACTCCACATATGTGCACCTAGGAGCAATGATTCCGTGACCTCTGAGTCGGTTAAACACTGCTTTAATGGCGCAAAAATATCCCATTCACATATACATTTTATTAAACTAACTTGATAAAGCCAACAGTGTGCAAATCAGAGATGTTAAAGGGCTTAATTAGGAAACCCAGTGTGTTAAGGCCTCTACGTGGAAAGACAAGACAATCGCTGGCTTCATTGGCAGAGAGAAGCCTTCATTAATCTAGCTAAGATCCATGCTGTGGAGTGAGTTGGTAATTTTTGTATACCTATAATTTCTGAATGTTACTTTTCTTACTTCTAAGCTGGTGCTTTACTGAAGTTGGGACTTTAAGAGCCTTGATTTATTTTGGATTTCAAGCAAGACTTAGCAACAGTGAATTATTTGGGCGCAAGATTTACCGAACGCTACTTTTCCCATGCTTGTATCGTCGTTTTATCATAGGCCAACTAGGAAGCCGAGCAATTCTATAACCGAATTCGTAGGTAAATAGTGGTGAAAGGTTATTTATAGAGCTACAGATAAACAGATTTCTTTCTTCGGATCTGAGTGGATCCGGTTCTGTGAATATTTTATTTTGATATATCGTTTACCTTCAGTTCTCACATTAAGACAGAAAACAGCATAAACTATCTTCGCCCTTAGAAACACTTTCACTAGTGTCAGCTATTAGAATCACGCCTCCTAAAGCTAAATTTCAGGCCACTCCCTTACCCCGCCCCCCCCNCCCCCCCCCCCCACCCCCTTAACCTTATCCTACTTTTTACGAGTGTATTGCACTCTCCCCATCCACACACACAGAGAGAAGCGATTAAAAGACAGAACGCACTGCTGCTACCACGTGTTTCACCCACGCCCCCGGGCACAACCTCTACGGCGGAAATAGGTCCATCGTGCGATGGGATCGGCGGGCTTCCCGTCTCAAGACTAATTACGAAGACATTCAGATGATAACTAAACACCCACATATGCAGCTGGGGCTAAGAGGAATTGTAAAGTACAGACAGAGATTAGACTGGTTGTCTTTCAAACAGGTCAAAGTTTAGTTAGTGGTAGAGGAGAATGGCTTTTCGAAGTGACGAATGATCAATAATGGAGCATGACAAAGTTGGAATCTCAAACCAACGCTAAGCTTTCTCACCCATTAACCTCACTAATGGAATGTCGCTTAAAGACCAGGTTAATTGTGGATCCAGTCTTCTGCGTCATCCTTTCATGAGAGTACTGTGGGCATATTTAAAGCTCTCTTAGAATAACAAATAAATACAAGAGCTTTAAAAGAGCCGTAACGCAGAATTAGTTCATCTTAGAGAATCCCACGGAAAATTAACGAATAGTTTCAATAAAGCACACTCCTCCCTTACTTTTATGAGAATCTCCCATTCTCTGCTCTCTTCCTGAATGAACACCAACGGGGACGAATAGTGTGATAGAGGTGCACGTAGACCATTCACCCCTTTCTATAGTTGCATCACGACGACTGGTAAGTATAACCAATAAACCATAACTGAAAACACGCCCTGTCAACCGTGACTATAAGACCAATCATGTAAATCCTAATTTCTATCATTGAGAAAGGCAAACTTCGGTATAGTCGAAGAATGAAATTAACTTATCGAAGAGTTCAGTACTGATCAAGTGCCCTTTTTCCCAGATATTTCAAATAATAGGCCCACTATGAGGTCAAACTCATTTCACAGCTTAGGGTTTATAATGTGTAAGTAGAATATGGACGCGATTAGACGCGTGTAAGCAGAAAGCCAAATTAAAGACTCACTAGAATCGCAAGGTAGTAACGAGCGGGGTATGGAAGAGCAAGGTCACCAGTAAAGAGCCATTGATGAACAGCCATAAAGGGCTCAAGGAATTCTGGATGGCAACCGAGAATTTGGGCGAAATTATCCAGTCGACCCCATCGATACCAATACGCACAGAAGAGAGCATATGTCTGAAAAAAAGGCAAATGTTTTACAGACTTGAATTAAGATTATGAGGTCATGGAGTTTTATAGACTAAATTGCCAATGACCTGAAAAGGCACGGATCACTGAAAGCGACTCACAGTAAATAAGGGGTCATCCTCAAAAGGCTCCTCAAAGATGCATCTGAGATGGGGCAAATCATTCTCAGAGAAGGCGAATGATGGAGATGGTTGAAAGGGTATCTCAAAGATGAAATGCTTCTTAGTCTAGAGGTATAAGCAAAAAAATGTCGATCAAAAGATGCAAAAAATATCAATATATATATATATATATACAATCAAATCCATCAATATAATTTTAATTATTCGTATAATGAGAACAGAAGGACATAACAAAAAAATTATTGCACAATTTAACCCTCTTAGTCAGAACGCAGTTGATGATAGGAATAATCGATCGAGGTGATTACTAAGAACCAATGGCTTCATCACGCCTATTTTCAGATAAGTACCTAATTTTTTGTTCGTTTCTTTTGACCTCTTTTACTCCCTATCAAGAATTGTTGACTCTATTTCTAATAAGTACTTACTATTTATAACTGACTGTTCATTAAGCTGGTTATAGGAACGATACCATTTTAATATCTACAAACTGCTGAATAAAAACCACACGTAGCCACAACGCCACTAAATCAACAATTCTTTGAACTGGTTGTCATTAATTTATTAATGCAGATTTCTACATTTCAACTCATTAAAATTGTAAAAAATGGATAAATGCTCATATAGATTAGAGCAAAATAAAACCTCACAAAATTATCCATATTTCAGTTTCTCAATTTCGAATGTCGTTAAGGTAAATATGATTTGCCCAAAAAAATACGATCAGGTAGCTTTTCCCACATTTTGCCCATACTTGAATAAAACCAACGTAATGCATTATCAGAGAAATAACCGCTTGGAACAATTATTTGATTTGACAGTTCTTAAAATAGACATGAGGTTTCCATGAAATTTTAGTTTAAAAAGTCAATAATCCCACTGGAAGAAAAGATTAAAAAAATGCAAGTTTTTACAAATGAAATTAGTTAATTAATTAATTATGTATTAGAAGTAAGGATAATATAAACAAAAGTAAATCATGGAAAGCTATAGTCCTGAACTAATTGCATCATAAGAACCATCAAGTCAATATATTGAGTCAGTCAAATCAGAGAAAACCTTGCTCTCTATTAAGTAAAACCACTCGTTAGGACTCACTCTTAGGTCCTCTAGAATGGCCTGGCAAAACTGACGAACATCCGCAAGAGGACAAGTGTAAATGACACGAGCCAAATCGGGGATCTGACACAAAATATTATGGTGCATCGATGTGTCCACAGTGGTTCCATTGCTATCCTGGCTGTAAGATTCAAGAAAACCGGCTACCGCAGGACTACCAAAACCAAAGTACCAAGAAACGATCACCCGTTGGACAGATTGCGCCCACTCGTTGCGGAGACACATTTCTGAACGAGAGAAACCCTGTAAGAGATTTAACGAATCCACCGACCGATTGGCAAAATCAAGAGAGATACACTGCAAGTTCTTGAGCATAGCTGTGAAAGTGTTGACGTTTACTGTATAGAGCAATTGATGTCGCACTTGACTGCGTAGACTAAAAGCAGATAAGCAGGAACGTTTAATTACAGTAATAATAACGATAGAGTAAAAGTAAAAAAACAAAGGCAAAATTAATCGGCGATATAGAGAATAGAACCATAGAAAATTCTTGAAGAAAGATGATGAAATTGAGAAAATAAAAAAAAACATTTCAAAGTTGAGAAGCAAACCACAAAAAATTGATTTTTATCGAATAAAATTAAACAAGGTAAAGAAGGATACTCAGGCAATATGAAACAAAGCATCAACATATCCTTGTTGCAACAACGGAAATGCATATTGCGATTAACTATCTGAAAGGAATCTGCAAAAGGTAAAATAAAAAAATTCTGCAAGAACTTAAAATAACAAAGTAAAAACATTAATATACGAACATGTTTAAAGATAAATGAGAAAGTTATCAGTAGAGTTAGACTCAGTAGATGGGAAGGGACAAACTCACCTCACCCACTCATGATAACTTTGACAAAAACGTTGAGGAAAAGGCATAAAAACATGAGAATCTCAACTAAGTATTTTAAATAATAATAAAAGGAAGCTTTCCAACAAGAATAAAGTACCTAAATCAAGTAAACAAGATTGAAAAGCCTAATTTAATAGATATAAAACCTACAGAAACAACCAAAAATAAAGTTTACAAAAAAGTAAGCCAAACAGTGAATTCGAGAAATTAAGAGACCTTGCCTTGATTATGAAACCTTGAGATAGCCAATTGCAGAAAAGTTCGTTATTTAATCATGTGTGCGATGGATTTTTTGATTTACTAAAATAAACATCTTAAAATCTTAGTAAAACAATATTAATTATTAGTTAATGAGCAAGTTAATTTGAGCCACACGTTTATTGGGAAGGGACTTTTTAATGATATATCCTATTTGTTATCGCCCGAAGCATCAAAACATATAAATATATATATATATATGTGTTTACTTGCTACAATTACAAAAAAAGTAGATAAATATGACCATCAAAATATAATTTGTATATATAAAGTTAAGATATAATTTAGCATTAAACAAATTCCGAATAATAATTTAATAATGTTCGAAATGCAGAAAATTTGGTAAGTTGAAAAATCATACACAAAACTATAATAAACACTAAATAACTTTTAATTGCAATCTTCAAATATTTCAATCAGGCATAGTTCAAGAAAAAAGAAAATTACTTTCGGTGTTCGTCGTTAAAGTTTCTGTCTTACTCCACACAATTCGAGTTGGCTCCAAGTTCCAAAAATCAATAAACTTTTTTCAACTAAGATTTGAAAAAGTATGCTCTCACATACACATAAGTAATTAAATTCCGCTCCACTTGACCAAATTTAAAATATGTTGTGAGCGATAGACTTACCTCTACGTGGTGCACCACATGCAATGTATACCCATACGGCCAAAAGGTCTGTAGACCAGCAGCTAACTTCTGACTTCAAACTACCATGACTCGACTATATGTCATATTCGACCACTTCCACAGTCCTCACCTCACTTTACCCTATTCGCTGAGCCTTTGAGACTGTCTGTCTCTTTTACATCTGTGAATCACTTTTCTGTTCCTTCTCCACTTTTTTGTGACTTTGAAGTTTTTTGATGTTTCAAGACAATATTTTGCGTGGCAGGACAAAGACAAATTACTGGTTCTGCTACCGTTCATGTACTTTCTGCCAAAAACCACAAAGTCAAATGAGACAATCTATTCAAAACAAAAAAAACTTTGAATGGTTCCAAAATCTACCATTTTGTCTTAAAAACGACTGACGGAACGTCATAAGCGGTAAAGGCTTAGTTAAATATAAAGTTAATAGTTACGACATTTATAGATGCCTCCCTGACACCTTGTGGTAAAGCATTAGGTGCTCTTTATGTATTTTTGAAATATTTCCTTGAAATGACCTTAATAATTCCCAGTTAAAAGAATAAATTAAGTATTTTGTCAAAAAGTCTAGAAGGAGTAATAACTTTCTACATTGTTATTCCGTACCTAAAATGATCATTCAAGGCTGTGTTATTGGCTCGAGAATCGGCGCTTCCATTGAGTTTCTCGATATCACTAGTGGTATTCCCTGGCATAATTAATCTTATTAACGGAGAAAAATGACTTATTTATTTGATCCATCCATTTTGGGAAATGTTTCGCTAGACTCAGTCATTAAAGACAAAGACGTAACAACGAACCTGGAGGATAGAAATCACAAATATCACCTTCGCCCGTTGAAATCATCGGACTACGGTTTGTTTGTTTATTTACTTATTTTTCTTATTTCAGATTATTTGCGAATTCTCAAGCAATTAACTGAGGTTGGGAATGTTAATGAGAGTGACTTTGAAAGTAATGTTCTTTTTGTTCTTTGCTAATTTTTCAAGAACGATTTCATGAGTTCGCATCTCGTCCAAGCACGTACTTTATTATAGTGCTGGAAGATTTAACTAGCGGAAAAATTGTTGGATGTGCAACCTTGGTGGTCGAGCTAAAGTTAATTCACAAGTGTTCCAAGGTTAGGTTCCTTTGCTTCTTGGTTTAATTATCTTTTTATCAGCGGGGCCATATTGAAGACGTTGTAGTTGATGAGACTTGTCGAAAACAAGGACTTGGTAAACTGTAATTCTCAGCTATCTTTGTTTACTTGCCTCAGTTTAATTTTTTTCTGATCTTACTCTTTAATCTTCAGGTTGATTGGGACTCTGATCAAAGTTGGTGAGGCGGAAGGATGTTACAAGATATCTCTAGATTGTAGCAAAGATAAGGTCGAATTCTACGAACGGAATGGATTCAAGCAAGAAACAGTCTCGATGTGTGTTCGGTTATCAGACTAGCTTACCTTTCCTTTCGTTCTTCTTGCAATTAGGTGTAGTTTTCTAGTGAATGCCTTTTTTCTACTCTATCACTCGACATCACTTAACCGGTCTTTCATCTGCACTATTTTTCCTTCAAACGAAACGACCCCTTGGCTAGTGCTTTCATTGCACTTAATTATGTACTTAAATGCTGTGCCTGTTTTCCAACCATTTTCCGGCCTACTGTAATAATTCCTCATATTGTGTTTTGTAGTACAAAAAATGTGCACTTTTGTACGTATTGGTTGGTAGCTAATGATAAGTATTCTCACATTTCGTGTGGTTATGTTCGATCAGGGAAATCCCTCATTTCTGGCAGTATTCATGACTAATGTGAGAGGTAGTAACCATATATCTTAATAGATCTACTTAATCATATCAACTTCATGTCTCTGCAAATTCTCGTCTGTTATTAACTATTTTTGAATGATTTCTTGATTAATTTCACGTTAGTGGGTCGATAGTGTGATTGAGATGCAATTGTGCTGTGTATGACCATAGGGAGAGCGTTAAACACTTACCTAATTTTGTTCTCAACAGCTGCGCTTTCTACTTGTATAAACGTAGCGGGTAAAACGTACTTCATATGAACACACACACCATTACACAAAGGGCTAGATTTTGCATTGACTCAAAGGTGTGACAACTGATTATTCTGCACTCCAGAGTATAATGGAAAAGTCAGAAAATGCAGTTTTAAAACGTCTCATTCTTTCCATCAAGAGAAGTAAGTGTGCAGGAGAAAATACTCTGAGGTTATTGCTATTGGATGCTCTCATACTAACATTTCTCCTGCTCAAGTTTTCATTTGTATGTACCTCATCACAGAATGCGTATTTTGCTCATTTTTATGCCTATTATCTGATGCGTTTATTGTTGTCAAATGTCGTAGTTTTTTATTTCGACGTATATGCAGGATGAATGTTTCATGCGTTGTTAATGAGAATTACCCTTGCGGTTAATATAGTCATATGACTGAAAACTCCACTTCGTTTTAGCATGTTATAAATCTCGGGTAATTATTTTAGAACTGCAAAGATGGGAGTTATTTTTCAACTATCTGTTTAAATTAGGGAGGTTTTCAGGTCTCTTTTTAATTAGATTTTTTGTTATAGAATGTAAGATTTCGCTTAACAACACCATTGAACAACTTAACCCACTCACTATTAAGTGTAACAAATGGAAGTAAAGAAACCTCTTCCATTGTCATAACCATTAAATTCATATTTAACTAAGCTTTTCACCGCTTATGACGTTCCGAAAGTCGTTTTAAGACAAAATACTAGATATTGGAATCGTTCAAAGGTTTTTCTCGAATAGATTGGCTTATTTGACTTCGTGGTTTGGGCAGAAAGTACTTGAACGGTAGTAGAACCAGCAATTTGTCTTCGTACTGTCGCACCAAACATCGTCTCGGAACAGTAAAAAAAAAGTTTCTACACTGAAACCGTCATTGAGGTCTATTGTTTTGGTCAAAAATATGTTCCAATGTGAAAAGGCTAATCACTTTTAAATCATACGTTTAATCATATTAGTTAGTAACTAAAAGTAGTAAGTTTCAAATCCGTTGAATGAAATATTTTCACGGCTTTGAGTTTTGAGGTAAATTCTAAATCACGCCAGTCGAATGTCCCCTTTTTTAAGCTACTCCAGGAGATATTGTGTATATACATGGTGACAATTAAAATTAACTTGCTACCGGATATAATGCTGCTTTTGGCATTTAATCAGTACTAACTTATTATTGGTCAAAGGTAGGGTAGATCAACAAAATTATCATTGTATCACTAGCCCACAGCAAAATGTTCTTTCTTTTAATGCTCAAATATTGTTGATCTTCAATTCTAAAACAAAATGAGAATTTTTTGGCATTGATCATGTACTTAAAGATTATATTGTATCTTACAGCTTTGAATAGTATTGTCTGGCTCTGAATTTTATAGTTACAAATGTGTCTTTTCTCCGTTTCGTTAAACTGCCTTAAATTAATTCCCAAAATTTATACACAGCAGCAAATGTAAGTGTTCATTAGTTGTTCATCCCAACACTCACAAACGTAAAGATGTATTGACAAAAAGATTACAAGGGCTAGAATACTCTTTATTTCAATAAAAGAAATGACAATATTTTTGCTTACGCACAAGGATCCAAAAACATGTCTTTTGAAGTTTTCGTCGAAATTGATAACCAGAGATATATAATTATTGTTTTCAATGTCAATATTAGTTGATAGTAATGATCTTTAATCTGTTTGATAATAATGTCAATGCTTTACCAGGCACAATGATCATAAAAGCAATGCAATATCGTCTACATCAAAGTCATTTTGAGTGTCCCTTAGGAGATTGTGTACTGCAGTCATAACGCCATCTAGCATCATACATCAAAGGTAGCAATCTCTACTAGATCTAATTGATCTGTTATATATGTAACTGTTTAAATAGAAACTGCTCACTTAGCGTCTCCCCTATTAAGATTCTAGCAGACAATCAACTGTATGCTTAACTGGGATCTGAAATGTGTAAAGTTGTAAATGATCGGCCCGACTCCCTACAGATCAAGATTCTAATTGTTGCTGATTAAGCCATACTCTTAAAAAAGTTGTGAGAGGTTTATAGTAATAACTTTGGACTCAATCACTCCAAAGTACTCGGAGAAGGCGATCGTGTTTACTGAACAGACGTTTTAATTTCACTGTGTGTAAAACGAATAATCACGCCTGTATTTGAATGAAGGAGTTAGTTAAGCATAATTGCGATAATCTCATAGGGAACTGAATATACAATTTATTACCCTACTAATGAATTTTTATTTTTCTTGCATTAGAGAATATTTCCATTACCATTTTTAAATCAGCAACCATTTTGCGTTAATTTAACTATTTTGATTGAAAATCAGTTTTTTCCTAAATTATTCAATAATGTATTATTTCTAAAATTTCAGTTTCATTCGAATTTTCATACTAAATAGAGCCAGCAAAACTGAAACGCCGTACTATTTCAAAGTTTTATATATTTATATAGTTGTTTAATATTTTATTATCAAAAGTTTGTTAGTCTTATAGATATTTTCTGTGCCTGTTATAATCCATAAGGGGTTTGTAAAATAAATTTCTTCATTACCATTTCTCCTGCTTATTTTATTATAACACAATAATTTTCTGTTTTGAGCTCCTTAGGCAGTGTGTTTTTAAAAGATTTATTTTCCATTGCGATTTATCATGCACATTAGAAAATCAAAACTCCGCGTTTCATGATCAAACCCAATCTACTTCCCACGATGTAAAATTATGTTATATTTTAGAATCGAACCCTACCAAAGCTTCTTCCATTCATCAGGAAATGTAAATATTTAGGAATGGGAATATATATAAATTTTTAGCGAAAATGTCTTTAAAATTGTAGGTCACAATTTTGCTGCAAACAGTTAGAAATGTAGAAGGTAATTAATCCAATCTTTTACTAATCTTTAATTTAAATTATTTTTTATGCATGATTAAATTACTTTGAATAAATACGTATCGTTGTGTGGAATCATCAATTTTATCAAAGAAGGCAAATTTTTATTGTTTGGAAACTATTCAATTTCTGAAAATAACTTAGGAAGTTTTAAATGAACTTATGTTTTTTGACCAACATCAAAATACACCTTTTAAAGATTGTAAATAATTGACTTGGAAAATATATTAACAATAAAACATAAGTACATCATAAAAATAAAATTTACTTAGTTTCACTTCAGATACTGTTTTAATCCATAATTTGTTGCTATTGCTTGTTCTACCGAATACCCTCTTTCGGAAGTATCCGCCATTTCATTATGATTCGTCGGAAAGTACGACTTGTGTCCTTTTTGTAGCGCTTGGCGCTCTGTTGTACCCAATTAAATAAGAGCAAATGTGATTGTGCCTGACCATGGTCAAGCAGACGTTCTTTAAGATGTCATTCGATAACGAAGTTTGTTGTCGTTTCTTTCATTCCTGTTTTTACAGGGAAGTTAGGCCACCGATGAAATGGAGTTCTCTGCATCGCTAAAGTGTGTCAATCGTCTATTTTCTTACTTTTCTTTTGTAAATTATTTTCATATATAAATATTTTTCCTTGTTACTCGACTTGTTGAAGTAAGTTTTCCTCGGTCTCGTTGAAGTAAGTGGATTTGAAAGAATTGGCATGAAAAATATGTGTGTATATACAACTTGTTCCTTAATAGATATTCTAGTGCAATTGAATTCGGATAAAGTAAGTTCCGAAGTGGGTTTTCTGGTGCTGTATTTGGTATTAGTGAAGTTGCTTAGTCAGATTTCGTTTACATATTGGAAGTAAGTTTTGGTACGAATTTTCACTGCTCTGTGTCTCTGGGATATAGGTGTCGCCTTAAGTAAGTTTGTCATCTCGGAAAGTTGCAAGTGAGTGCTTGTTATTGGAGTAAATTTGCCCGAGTTTAGTCTGCTTTGGTTTTCTGCCTTTGTAGTGTAAGCTTACCAACTTTTTTCTTTGCATTTGAGGCGGTTGTGGAATCGAAGTGGCAGACATTTCTCGAAGTTTGTTCAGTGATAATTACAAACCACAGAATTGGTCAATATTGACACAACCGATTGTTTGTGATATCCTGTTGTACCCATATCTGCGTGCCGCACACCCATTCGGACACGCATGAAGTTGACGTTTTTTAATAAGGGAAACCGAATAACTAGAAGTAAGTGGCATAATGAGGTGAAAGTTGGGGTGCTCCAGCGCTGTTTTGTTCTTCCATTGCGGTGAGGCCGTTAGTTATTTTGGTATTTAAGGCGTGCGGTTTGTGATCTTCGTGCATTTTGTGGGAAGCTGCCAATAAGTATATGAATGCTACCTAGGCACTTGTCAGTTGCTACGACCGTTGAAGTGAGTTTAGTTTTGCCGCGATGATAGAATAACGTTCGCTTGATTGTGTCCTTAACCGTGCATTTATTTTGCATTCATGACAGTGTAAAATGCTTGATTTTCACAGGATTGTCTTTATGCTAGATTACTGCTGTTTTATCGGTTGGTTTACTGCGATTACACTGATTAATCATGCAGTAGGACAACTGGTCCCTCCTTAAGTAAGTCATTTCGTATAATTTGGTACGGATAGATGAATGTTTTATGAATATTTCGGAAATATTGCGAGCATTTGACAATTAAAATAGGTCCTTTATATTTTACTGTTTTAATTCAATTATTTGCACACTCAAACAAGAAATAGGCTCTGGGGAATGCTACTTACTTTCTTAATGCGATTTTAGTGTTTTATTTTTTACCCTTATTGGAAAATATAGGATTTAGGTTAGGCAAGCATTCGTAATCGTGCCGTTGGCTGCTTTAACGAAAATCTACTAGTAGTAGTTAGTAGTATATACTCTTATATATTAGCAATATTTTTGCCGTATTATTTTGCTGAATTTTTTAAATCTTAATACAAATCTGATGAAACATATAATAAATCACTGGTCTTTTTCACTTCAGAAAGTCTCCTGGGTTTAGGGTCGTAGTACCGTAGGAAGTGACTTTTTTCGAATCAAGTCTGCCGGCGACAATGGGTTCTGCCGAGTCCACTTTCATTAAACTTACTTGGCGCTGGGTCCAGAGTGATCATGAAGGCTCTGGCTCCAGGTGGAGACTCACCATTGCACTCCGGTGTGTTGAAGCTTGCGACGAACTCAAAATGGGTTTGCTCGGGCGCATAGTTTTTGAGAGTGGGGAGGCCTTCGGGCCATCCCTTAATAATATTAAAAGAATTTCTCGGTTACTATCAAATAAGTCACCGCTGCGGTTGCGACTATATTGGCACGTGCTCAATGATAATTTTTATTAAGTAGGTAAAAATAAGGTAGTTCTCTAGACATTATTCCGGGTTAGTTAATGTTTGTTCAGACTCTGGAGCTGCACATTTTTTTAATTTCGATCGAGTCAATGACTAGACATACTTCTAAGCAGAGCAGGCAGGTTAAAGAGTTACTGGCAATATTTTGTATATTTTGCACAATCTTGATTAATTAGCAAGATAACCGATACTTAACACAACACTTGTTTCTGATTATATTACTGAGCGGTTTTATGTACTGGCAAAATTACAGGCATTTGAATCATTTAATTTTCGCTTGCATGTCCTAAAACCTCCATTTAAGTAACCTCAACTTTTATTTGACCGTTTGACATTCTGATTTCAATCACCTATATATATTGTGGGGTGCACAACGCTGTCATGGCTTAACAGAGAAAACTCATGCGCAATCAGACGGCCTCGAAGGTGCGGACGTGCTATTTGTCACATAGCGGTCGTGAATGCAGACCTCTCACCCAGCCCCCAAACAATGGTCTCTGCTTACTTTATCAAACCCTTCATTGTATTTTAAATGACTACGCTCTGTGGCCCACAACCCAATAAATGTGTTCCACGCCATGCGTCTGCTTCCTCTATATCTTCGTCGTAGCTTGGCTTAGCCTGGGAACCATTCCATAATTGGAGAACTTGCCATTGAGATTATGGAGCATAAATCGTGGCCACACACTGACCATTTCGATGCTAATGATTTCTAAAATTATGTTTTAGCAATTTCCATCGATTAGCCTCTTATTAAGCGATTTGTTAAATTTATTTACAGGCATTGAGCGTGTTGTGGCCTTTCAATTAATTTTGCCTGTTTCTGTGGCTTGCTCTAGTCAATATGGTGGATAGTGTATGATAAAGATTTTGAATGGCTTGAGTGATTTTTGCCTTCTTAAGAGATCCTTGAAAATATTGATGGGAAGGTGCTTTGGTTGATTTAATTGCTGCTACTTCGAGTATCTCAAATGCTCTCTTTGGCCATAAGTTCAGACGACTTCGCTGTTCTTAATACTTCAATACGGGTAAAGATTCAGAAATCCCCCTTTGAATTGCAAAGGGTCCAGTCAATCGAGTTAATTGTTTTCTCAAATTACTATTAACATAACTGCTACAATAGCCATATTTAATTGCATCTCTTCATCGTTTTGGGAGTGATTTTCACCTATCTGTTTGCTATCGCTATGAGTCAGTTCGATTTTGAGGATTATAAGTGCGTTCTACTCCCTGCGTTTTTAATATGTCAAGCAATTTTTAGTTATTATGTTTATCAAAAGCAAATTAAAATACTGCCTTTATTATCTACCCCTTACTGCTCATTTCATTATTTTATCTAATAATTTAGTTTTAACTCCAGCTAGTTGTATTGATCAGCATCCTGGCTACCTGGTTCATGAAACCGGATGTAGTCTATCTGTGTGCGCGTGTGTTGTAGCGGATTGATACCATAGTAAAGCCTTGACTGACTCAGAAATCTCTATGGCTAAGCTTCGGTGAAGCTAGGGAGGCGTATTAAACAGAACACGTTTATTGCCAATTATGATATCCGCAAGTATGAATAGTTATCAAATAAATCTACCATAATTCGAATGAACATTAATAGCTGAATATCCCTTAGCAGTGTTCTATGCGTTCTGCCGCACACTCTAAATCCTGACGTGCGTGCAAGCGATGACGTGACTCATAGTGTATTTCATAAGATGGGAGGTAAGCAAAATTGAGATAAGGAAGTCCCATTATTAGGAATCTTTGTGAGAAGATGTGAGGTTATTGTTAATATTAAAGATGGAATAAAATATTTACGATTAATCAAAATTTCTCCGATTACAAGAAGCTGCTCGATTGATTCATTACTTTAACCCTAAGACAAGCATTTATGCTCCCCAATTATCAGTATATAAAAACAATAGAAATACATGTAAAGTAAATATCCTAAAATGAATTTTAAATTTTTGATCTATTGGTGCACCGGGTTAAATTGTGCCTCAATACTTAGATATGCCATTTTTCAATTAACACTGTTAAAGCGTTTATTAGGCGACAATGTTCAAGAACTTTCTAGTAACTGTCATCATTCCGAAATTTTTCTGTAATCGTTACATAAAGTTGCTGTAACATAATTTATGACCAATTCATTAAAGAATATAATTTACGGTCAGGGTGCGGGCTCAATATACGAAGTGGTGTACATTAAGCACAATAAGGGTGACTAAATAATCTAAGACGCTGCAGAATTCAGACCAAAGTGATTCAGTGGGAAATTTTCACTCTTTAAACCACCTAAGCATTGGCTATTTACAAATAGACCAATGCTAATGAATCACGCTGATGGTGGGCTGTGTACTGGGTTAAAATCCGAATGCTTGTTACGTGCTCTAATATAGCCATCGATTTGACTTTTTCTTCTGATTCACCCCCCCCCTATTCTGCGAACTCCAAAACTCCATATCTACTATCCACCTTTCAGAATTTTCAAGTGCACCATATATACGCGTAATTATGCTATTTCGCAGCAAATGAGCAAAGTCAAATGATGAGTTTGGTTTTAAAGCAAATTGTTAGCCAAACGTTATTATAATTACCGTCAATGTCATAAATATTCGAAGTAATGACTAATTGAGTATTTTGGAAGAAAAAATTTGAAAAATAAAATGACACAAGAAGAAGAAACCTATTTGATCGATATAATAGTAGAGAAGTTGATCACCGTTTTATCAAATATCATTTGCCATATTTATTACAATATAATGGATGAATTGAGAATTGAAACTATTTACTAACGTTTTTAAAATGGGATAAAGTTTTATTAATGCATCATGTTTTTTAGGTCACAAACTGATACAGATCATTCTGCGAATTCTGCAACTGAAGCATTTTATTGGACATAAAAAATGATAACCAATCATATGGTAATTTCAAAAATTAGCCCAAGGAATCAAAATAACTCCTTCTTTCACTCTTCAATATTTTACATTCAAATCTGAAAATAATAAAAAAATGAGTTAAAATAATTGAATAAGCAAGTAAACTGCGTACAAAATCAGGCATGGTAAACATACTGACTTCATATGAACATAACTTATTTTTTCCTTGATTGGTTCACATTTGGACCTTTCTTTTCATTGGTTATTTGTTGTGATTGGCTGGTAAATGTATGAGCTTCGTTACTATTTCTTCATCGCTACTTTATTCACTTGACGGACAGGGTCTATAACTTATTGGTTCTCTTATTTTATACCTAAAACATACCAAAATGGTGGTTGCTGAATGCCAAAGTGATGACGGAACCATATTCATTACGCTGGGTGTTTGTGCTATGGCTAAAAAAACAAAATCAAAACCAATGAAAGAAATTCTTCGTCGTCTAGAAAAATTCCAACACATCCGTTTTATTGTGTTCGAAGAGAAAGTAATTCTTAATCAACCCATCGAGTCATGGCCTCTTTGTGATGCGTTTATCAGTTTCTACTCTGAAGGTTTTCCTCTACAAAAGGCCATAGCTTATGCAGAACTTAGAAAACCTTACTTGGTCAATGATTTGGAAGCTCAGTATGTTCTTATGAATCGGAAAAAAGTCTATGAAATTTTGCAATCGGAGGGGATTCCTGTTCCTCGTTATGCTTGTGTTGAAAGAGGCGACCCAACTGAAGCAGTTAATGTTATCGAACATGATGATGCCATTGAAGTAAGTTAATTAGCTTATATATCAAACTTGCCACTAATTTACTATTGTTTTGTAAATTTAGGTAGATGGGGAAATTTTTCACAAGCCCTTTGTTGAAAAACCACTGAACGCTGAGGATCACAACATTTACATTTATTTCCCAAGTAGCGCTGGAGGTGGAAGTCAGCGACTTTTCCGAAAAGTCGGGGATAGAAGCAGTAAATACTTTCAAATTAGCACAATTCGAACTGAAGGCTCCTATCTCTATGAGGAATTTATGCCAACAGATGGCACCGATGTAAAAGTAAGTGAATGTGGGTGGACTTTTGTTTTGATCTTTGCATTTCTCTTCGATATGCAAATACAAATTTTTTGTACAAGTGGTTCAATTTTCTAATGGCTTTCAGACTTATTGGCAAGGATAGAGGTCAGCTAGTCTAGCTTTCATCGCTTCTTGGTATACCACTTTCTTTGCTTTCCTCCTTTTTGTTTTTTTAATTTGTTTTATTTTTCGCAGGGTTTATTATTTTAATGAACTCTTCAACCCGTTCAGACTATTTTTAGGCGCAATTTCATGTTTCTTTTTTAGCTAATTAAAGTTTCTTTTTTTGGATTTGCACATCAATAGAGTAGATCAGGTGCCCTTTTTAGGCTATATTTGTTAGCTTTAATCTTCAATTAACTTCGTACATAGCTCATTATGCCTAAGCGATTTTAGTTGTTATTGCTATTATCGCGTGCTCAGTAACTCCTCATATTTGTAATTGAATTGAATAAAAGGGAAAGTGTATCCCATGTTCCGATTGAATTAAGCCTTTTATGAAGGGGCTATTGCATGAACTGGTGTAAATCACTAATGCACTTCTTACTTTTTTTAACAATGTAAGTTAATTCAAATTAACCTTTCATAGATAGACTATCCTGATTATTCGTTGGCGAGACGTATTAACGGCTCTATTTATGGCCTTTCTATTAACAGATTGGCCCTGAAACGGATCGATTATGAAACAATAGTAATACGTTTTCATTTTCAACCGGTGTTTATTAATGAATGTAACAAATTCGAATTGATACGGTAAGATAAGTATTAGTAATTGAAATATTATTGCTGAATATTAAGGTAGGCATAACTGCGCCCTCCGATAACCTGTTGAAGATCTCGATTTTGTTAGTATTTATTATTGGATATATTTAAAATTTAGGGCACTTTAATGCTTCGATAGCCCCAAAAATTAGGTCATTAGCGAAGTTCTTATGGCCAACCTTTTAATATTTGAACGGTTTCTTGGATGAACAAAAAGTACTCTGTCCACTGTGTTCATGAATTTAGAATTGTGAAATATTTTGATAGGCGATCGGGTTGCTAATTAACTGTTTTTTGCGCTTGAATAGTTGCTTATACTCGATTTCATGACCTTCAAAAAAGCTATACCAAAAGTAGTCAAATACTCTAGCCACTTATTATCAGGTTTTGGTTTAGAAAGCCCATATTATCAGAATATAAGAATATGATGAATTCTCACAGTCTACCTAAATGCATAGGGGGTAAGATTGTATCCATTTGAGCTTAACCTCACAGGATTACTGATAAAAGTGAAATCGAATTCTAATAATGCCCAGTGTGCAGTGTAATAGTGATACCAGCACTCCACCCCTCCCCCCAATCTTAAAATAAAATGGAAACAGGCTAAAAAGATATTTAGGGCCCAATATTCTTACGGTCGACAAATTAATGATCAAGTAAGATCATTACTACCAGAAAAATTACCCGAAACGTTAAATTAGAAATCGAATACTACAGTGCAAAGGCTATGGGGTGGAGCTTGAGAGTGAATGCGTCAGTATCTCAGTTTAGACCTGTGCGTCTGTAAAATCAGACGCACAATCCTGATCGATACTCCTCGGTACACGTATGGTGAACGAAAGCTATTGTATAGTGTGGGATTCTCATCCTATCGGTTTCAGGGTACTTGTCAAGTGACTCGAATTACGACTCAAAAGAATGTATACTTTTATATCACTGGGGTGTATGCATCAGGACAAGACTGGGATTTCGAACGAGCAACTTATGAAAAGCGAATCCTAGGTTTGAACACGGACACCCTCTTAGACCTATATTAGCGGTGGTTGTTTATAACCTATCCAGTAAATTGACAATATTCTACGCAAATGCGCAGGTTTATACAGTTGCTGACGATTACGCTCACGCTGAAGCACGAAAATCTCCGGCCCTGGACGGCAAAGTTGAGCGGGACAGTGAAGGCAAGGAGATCCGTTACCCTGTTATCCTCACTCCCCGTGAGAAAATAATCGCCAAAAAGGTTGCCAAGGTGGTGAAACAGCAAATCTGTGGTTTCGATCTCCTACGAGCTAACGGCATGTCTTACGTTTGCGATGTGAATGGGTTCTCATTTGTCAAGACCTCTCGCAAATACTACGATGATTGTAGTCATGTCCTCGGGGTTCTCATAACACGAGTCATCGCGCCGAGATTATGTCCTGGACTCGTTCCTGGTAACGCTCCTGGGACTGATGATGATATCCCATTGGTTCCCACCACCTGTGGAACCATTATGGAACTACGTTGTGTTATCGCAGTGTTTCGCCACGGCGACAGAACCCCTAAACAGAAGATGAAAATGGATGTTCGAGATGAGAGATTTTTTGCACTCTTTCACAAATATGCTGGTGGCAGAACCAACGAGCTGAAATTGAAGAAGCCAACTCAGTTGCAGGAGGTTTTGGATATTGTTCGTGATATTCTTGATGATATTGAGAGTGGAAAATCGAAGAACTTGGAAGAGAAAAAGGGGAAATTTGAGCAACTAAGGCAAGTATCCATCTTATTTACTGTTTGAATTTCATTTAGCTATTTGAGTTTTGTTTCCTTCATGGGCATCTTATTTGCTTACTTGTAATTAAACATTTAATACCTCTTTTAATGTTTTGTCAGAATAACACACACAGAAATTCTAAATGAGAGGTCTGTTCGAATTCGTTTCTTGTTATTATGCTCTTCAGATAATGTGTATCCTATGCCTAAATGTGACAAATAGCCGATGATATATTATGAATGACAAATCTGTGGTCTATTTGGGAAAGTATTTTAGCGTTCTTTTCAATGGTTGTGGGGGGGGGGGGGGGGGGGCCCTTTTCANNNGGGGGGGGGGGGTGAACAATTTGGTGGACTCGAGTCATTTAATTAATTGTTGGATTGATTTCCCGTGAATAAGTAAATGCTTCCATTGTTTCAGCTTTTCATCGCATGTATCCATAACCAACTTCACGCTTTTTGTCCGTTAAGGTACGTTCTAGAGATGTATGGTTCCTTCAGTGGAATAAATAGGAAAATCCAGCTCAAGTATCAACCACATGGTCGTCAAAGTGATTCCAAAAAGAAGAAGGAGAACTGTAAGTCTTCAGATTTAATTCCCCTATTTACAATTGTATCCTTGGGCCATCTAGTCAGGATTTCTTCGAACTGCTAATCGAGAAATGTGATTGCCTCAATGGCTGCAATTAGTAAGGGTGTTGAATTTGGAATAAGATGACTGGGTGACTTTTGTGCATTTTTTTGAATAAATCAATGGCTTTCATGCAAATTAAGGCAGAAATCAATTCAAATCCGGTTATTTCAAAGTATAAATTCTTTAATTAACTTGTCCCCTTAGTCCATCCATATGTGAAAGCGACTTCAGGCCAAGTTCTTGACGAAGGTTATCAATGCCCCCTATCGTGTTAGAAACTTATATTCGACCGCAATGATTTTTAGTTTGTATTAAATGGGCTAGCTTGGTGACAGTGCGCATCCAGTGATGTAAATGGCCATCCGCACAAGTATGCTCAACTTACTTACTTCAGCGGCCCTAAAGTATCTCTTGAGTACTTCTCTTTGCCCTTGCAATAGTTCTTCTCTCGTAGAGTTCTTAGGGCACTATTGAAGCTGCATTACGGTAACATTTTAAGGCGTTTCAATTTGTCAAATACGTAGGAGCATTAATGCTTCCCAAATCCACATAGGAAAGCGTATTCTAGTGCTTATTTTAGGCGGAAGGTGGCATAATGAAGCCTCCCATGAGAAGAACTCGAATTCTACCCCTATCTGTTTTGGATAGTCTTAACCAGTGTTTTTGGCTATTCCTCTCATTGGGTGTGTGTGCCAATTGGAATCAAACCTGCGATCTCTCCTACCTGCCAGACGAACGTCATCGACTCACGTAAAGCTCAAGCAGATAATCTAGATTCTGCAATAGACCACCAGGCCGTTTTCCACACCCTCTACACTTTGCGTATTAAGTACTACAGGGAACCCTTGAAATAGTCTCTATTTATTATTTATAACAAATGGCAGGCGTTTTGATAGTCATCATTGGTCCTTTAGTTGACTTCGGGCTTCACAGAGGGGAGGCTGAACATCAAAGTGAGAGGAATTCGGGAGGTGGGATAGAAGAGTGATTCACAGATGTAAGAGAAACAGACAGACACAAAGGCTCAGAAAGGGTAAGATGAGTACTGTGATAGGGGTCGAATATGACATACAGTTGGGGTGATGGTAGTTTGAAGTCAGACGTCAACTGCCAGTTTATAGACTTTTTTTGCCGTATGATAATACGTTGCCCAGAGTGCACCACGTGGAGGTAAGTCTATCCCACACCCCGAGCTAGTCTCTATTGATTTTTTGATCCATGAGTATAATAATTTCAATGGTAAGTTTATAAAGGGACATATATTCGCGATCACTGCAGCAGGTACAATGAACTCGAATTTTCCAATGGTTATGCAGATTGCAATTGATTATACGAAGACTTAAGTGTTTGAGATTTTTCTACAGTTGGAATCTGCTTGCTCAGATTAACTCAATAGTTAGTGTTTTGCTCGTGTCATGACAGCTTAAACTTGTTAGTGGTTGGTTAGGTATCTACCTCTTCAACTATCTATCAGAATTTCTACTATGCATCATCCGATAAAGGCATTGGTTTTTGGACTGGAAGCATAAAATATTGGCATTGGCTGCACTTTTTTATTGATTTTATACTATCACATTTGAAAAAATTATCGTCTTCAATGACATTTCCATTAATTCTTGATAGAATTCATTACATTCTTGTGGAATTACACAACTTTTTAGCGTTTACAGTTCTGCTATCTACTCGAATGAAGTAATTTTGTCTTTCTTTGGTTTTTGTTTCTAAATTAGATCGAAAATAGCAGTGCGAACTGACCAATATTCTAAGTTCTTTCATTTGTTTTCAGCTAAAAGTACAACGGATGATAAGAGTTCAGCAGCCTCTACAGCGTCTGCAAATACAAACGCCGACAACTCAACGGAAAATGGGAAGTCATCAAATGATAGTGAACCCTGTCTTCTCCTGGTTGTTAAATGGGGTGGTGAATTGACAGCAGCAGGTCGACAGCAAGCTGAACAACTAGGTCGAGCCTTCCGTTGTATCTATCCCGGTGGCGATGGCAACTATGGCAAGAATCCGGGTCTAGGTCTACTGCGTCTCCATTCAACTTACCGACATGACCTCAAAATTTACGCGTCTGATGAGGGTCGGGTTCAAATGACGGCAGCAGCTTTCGCCAAGGGATTCCTTGCTTTGGAAGGTGAACTTCCACCTATTCTAGTCCAAATGGTGAAGAGTGCCAACACTAATGGCCTTCTGGACAATGACAATGATTGTCACTCCTATCAACAGATGGTTAAGAAGAGGATAAAGGAGGTCATGTCTTACAAGGGAACATGGACTGAAGAGCATAGACAGGCTCTAGCTCCTACTGGAGCTAAATCACTACTCAATGCAATGGACTACGTGGGCAATCCGACAGAAGCTTGCTCAAAACTCTATGGTTACGTTCAAAGACTGGCAAATCGAGTTGCCATGCTAACAGCAAATCTGCGAGAAAGGGAGAGGATTACTCTCTATCACAACGAATCGTGGGATTTGCTGTTGAGACGTTGGGGCAAATTAGTGAAGGATTTCAAATCACCCACAGGAGAGTATGATGTGTCCAAACTGCCGGACATTTATGATAATATTAAGTATGATATCCAACACAATCCTGGCATTCTTGTTGAATCAGAGATGTTAGAGTTCTTTAGTTTGGCCCGTGCACTTGCGGATATTGTTGTACCACAGGTAAGTACTATTTAACGGAAATTTTTATATCACGAATCTACAATATGGTTATACTTCTAATAGGCAATTATTTATTATTAAGCATAGCAAATGGCATCCCTAAGCCACTGTGGTGAGAAATTGGCAAATTTGTCGATCCACTAAATGATATTTACCTCTGACTTGAGAGACCTAATGGAATGCAGCTTCGATGCTTATTTAATGAACTTTTAAGTGAATCATGTGCTAGCAGAATAGAATAGATTGTTGGATTTTAGGGCTTCTTCAAGTCCGTTAATGAATACTACTTGGGAGAGGGTGGCTCCTGGAGTAGCCAATCGTTAGTTGGAGAAGACTGAGATCTTCAATGGTTGATTTTTGGGCATTTCATAAGCCAGTTAATGCAAATGAACACTTTCATCCTAAATCTACCCCTCTATCTCTCTAGTTCTAATAGCCCAAACTATACTCGCTTAATGGCTGGCCATCTATATATGTTTGTATTGTCTTTCACTGCTTTTCTTCTCCAGGAATACGGCATAACTAAGGATGAGAAGTTGTTGATTAGTCAGCGTATATGCACGCCCCTGTTGAGAAAGATACTCGCTGATGCGCGATACACCGATGTGGATGAATGCACTCGCCTTCATGCTGGGTTAGTTTGGTTTCTACCCTTCTCTTCTGAATTTTCGCATTAACTTAATCCCAATTTAATCGAATGAGTGTGTCTTGAATTTGAATCATTTGATGCGGCTTTTGGTTGTGGTAGTGTTTGTGTGCGTTCTTAGTCTTGAGTGATTTGGCTCCAGTTTGTCCAAACTTCTTGTCACAGCACAATCAGCTGTTGTTTAGTGCAATTGTCGGAGTGCACTCTGGGTCATGCAATTGTGAGTATAATTGAGTTATTTTTCCATTTTTTTTTTCAAGTGACAAATTTGACCTTTTCATTTTGACACCAACCCTGCAGTTCTTATGATTCCATGGCTCGATCGATTTTAATCACTCGATCAAGTGATTGAATGTGCTTTCAACTGGAAATAATCCGACTGTTTCAAGCCCCAATTTGGCTTTAAAGAATGAAAAGTCAAGTTTTTGATAGCACTTCTTGATTTTCATCACTCTTGTACGAATTTCTATCCGTTGTCAGGACGCCATTTTCCCTTGAACTTACTAGCCATCAAGTTGAGTTTGTGTTTGCATGAGCAATTAATCCAGCTTTTGACCAGGCCGAATACTTAATCTCATAACGATGGTGCGTATTATTACTTTCGGAAGCGAAAAATCTAAACAATCGCTCGAGGTTTAAATATACCTCTTCAATTGAGCTTGGGCTTCATCGGGTTGCATCACGACTTAATCCTTCTGGTGTGCAGAGGTTGGTACCCTAGGTTTCTCGGTTCCCATCTGCCCTCGTTAGAACCCATTGACCTGTTGATTGGTTGCAGCGATCGGTTATGCTATTTCGATAAATGGTGTAATTCTTGTTAATTGTCAAGGATAGTTTTGTAGATACTATTAATTTTGGATTGATATCTCTCAAGTGAAAAATACACTAGTTTTCACCAACTTAGGTAGAGTAATTAGTTGTAAAATATGTCGTTTTGCATTGGTCGATGTTTGTACAATTGAGAGACTGAAGTGCCATCATTTACTTTTTACCTCACTTACTCCTCATTTCCCTAAGCCAATTTTCCTCATTCCAAAACTTCATTTTAAACTTGTACATTCATTCATTGCTCTTGCAAGCGACTTTTTTTTTCAGTGAATTCTGCTTCTTATGCGTAGACTTTATTCAATTTTTTTTCATTTATTTATATCGAATGACGGCCTTTTGATGGTTAATAATGGCCTTTTGGCTGGCTTCGGGCTTTACAGAGGGGAGGTACATCAAAGTCACAAAAAGTCGAGTGGAGGGGGGGGGGAACAGAAGAGTAATTCACATATGTAAAAGAGAGACGCAATGGTAGAAAAAGGTGAGGTGAGTACTGTGGAAGTAGTCGAATATGGCATACAGTGGGGTGATGGTAGTTTGAAGTCAGAAGTCAACTGCCGGTTTATAGACTTTTTTTGCCGTATGAGTATATGTTGGCCAGGGTGCGCAACGTAGAGGCAAATCTATCGTACACTCCTCAATTTTTTCCTAATTTCTTATACTTGCAAATTTCTGTGTCGACATTACTATATGCTGTTACTTAACGCGCATTATTTTACTGCCTATAATCTTCACTATTTCCTGTGACTGTGACTCGCCTATTAACATTGTTTCTAATTAACTTCTATAGAAATTAGAGAAGGTGTCAATTAACAATCTGCTTTCGCATGCACCCCCCCCCCTCCCCCCACCCCCAACCACCTCGCTCTCTCTATCTCTGTGTTCGCATTTTGTATTTCTAAATGATTGTATTTTTTTCAGTAATTATAGGAAAGAGGTGCATCAATTTGTAAATTCCTTAAACAAAACACATTTTTATAGCATTCTCTTCCTAATTTGAATGCACTTTCATGCCTGCCTGCAACTGGTCGAAATTCATTATTTTCCCTTAGTGTTCTCAGTTATCACTGTTTTGTTACAAACTGCTCACTAATTTAGTACCAACAGTTATCAGCAGTTGCTCGAGGTGGGGTGGTGGTGGTGGTGGTGGGGGGGGTTATGTTATCTGTCGCCAGAAAGTTCATTAACAAAATCTCAATGGCTGCCATTCAATGTATTAAAAAATATTCATATTATTAGAGAAAGGACTCAGCTCTGTCCTGTATGTACTCAAAGAAATAGTTTTTTTACTGGTAGGCTCGAGCTTTCATTGTCCTAGATTTGATTTAATAGGTATTTATTTATTTATTTTAAATGTCAGGTGTTTTGATAGCTATCATTTGTCATTTAGCTGACTTCGGGCTTCACAGAGGGAAGGTTAATCAGAGTAGCAGAAAGTCGAGGGGTGGGGAAGAGAAGAGCGATTCACAGATGTAAAAGAGACAAACAGACACAAAGGTAGGGAAAAGGTAAGACGAGTACTGTGGAAGGGGTCGAATATGACATACGGTCGGGTCATGATAGTTTGAAGTCAGAAGTCAACTGCCGGAGGTAAGTCTATCGCACACCTCAGATTTAATAGGTAATGTATCAGTATTTCTTCATTTGCATAAGTCGCCTGAATCGTCACGTTAGTTAACAGATAGAAAAATCAGAATCGGACTTGAAATTAATTATTCTCGACTTGTTAATGCAAGAAATATTGTCGCGTGTTTCATTTTGAAAATCAACGTCGTGCTACCTAATGTTTGGTCCCAAGGTAGTTTCTCTCCTACCTTTTTTGTTATTCATGGCATTAATTAATTGGGTTGTTTCAAAGAGGCAGAAATGAAACTCTTGTTAGTTCAAAGTGTTTCGCACACGTGATTACAACATAGCGTCAACTTACTTCATTATCTCTTTCTGCATTGTGTCTTCTCTTAACAGTTACTCAAAGGGAGTTGCTTCACCGGAGCGTTTTGTCCGCACACGACTCTACTTCACCAGCGAGAGTCATCTGCACTCCATTCTGACGATGCTTCAACACGGCGGTCTGGCTGATGCCATGACTGATGAGCAATGGAAACGCGCCATGGACTATGTGAGCACTGTGCCCGAACTCAACTACCTCTCCCAAGTTGTTATCATGATCTATGAGGATCCTACTGTGGTGAGCAACTTTTATCATTTATGTCAAATCTAATTGACTTTATCACTTCGAATCTCGACAAAATCAGGCAAATAGATAGGTAGGAGAGGCAGTAAAGGTTTTTCTCCACATCCAGATTTCTTTTGTTATCTAGGGCACCGGAGTTTGTCGGGGTGTGCAGTAGTAGTTTCACAAGTTAAGCAGCACGAGGGGGGGGGATAAGTCTATAGAGCAAGGTTAAGAGACATTCTACAATAACCCTCTGAGCATTGGGGAAATTTCTGGAATGTACAGTTATTCGTATACTTTATGATGGGCATCACTGGGACGCTTAAGTCAGAACCCTAAAGTGCTCTAATCAGAATAATTGATATGAGGCCTAGACACATATATTTATGCCTCCTCCCCCAGTTCTAACAGCCAACCGTTACTGACGACTTAACAGCTAGACGCAGAATATATTGAACACGCATTAAATATTATCACCTATGGTGTGGCTCTCATTAAGAGCATGATTGCCAGCCGTATGGAGTTTTCGTTAGTTGTTCATATAATGGTTTATTCTAGTTCATTTTTTCCTAGCTGATTCAATATCGTTCTGAAATCAATTTACACGATTAATATTCCTCCCATTGACGAAGTGGCATGGAGTTTCTCTGTGGTTCTTTCGTCCAGCAATTTCTTCCAGTTTTGCTGGTACTTCCAATGCTTGGAATGGGAGGAATATGTTTGTTGAATCAGTGTTTGAGTCACAGTCGCTCTTGATGAATTTCAAATTTCGACTTTTAACCCTTTGACGCCCAAATTACCTTTTTTGGAAAACTACACCTTACCGCACTCACGCCTGTGTCTCACAGCAGACTGATGCTGCCGACGTGATGAGTTTTAGTGGTATCAAGTGGAGACTACAGACACGTATTGAACATGTTTCAAATGGCAAAAGCGCGCCTTCTGTTACAAGTCTAGTGCCGATGGAGCTTATCTTGAAAGAGGACCATACTGTCCTAAGGTCGTTATGGGTTAAACCAACCAATCATATAGCGTTAAAGGATTTATCTAACTTTTCAATGAACATAAGCCATATATGCATACAGTCATGTAAGGGATTCATTCTTAGACTCATCTTTTCCATCTCTCCTCCTCCCTTTCGATGTATAGTATCTCTTCGGCAGTTCTCTTGGAATTAATCTCAACTCATGTGAATTAATGAACAAATAACACTTATTTCTACACTTGTAAGTAGATTTCTCTAGTCTATTGGAGGGCTGAGATTGGTTGTGATATCCGATTTTTTTTTCGAATTCTTCTGAGTTGTCTATCTTAATTGCTATTTCGGATGCTGTTCCGCAAACACGTGGAAGTTGTTTGATAAGTTTATTACCCCCGCGTATTTGCTCCTCATAGGCTGTTGGGAGAGATACTCATCATGAAAGAGGAGAGACGGCAGAACCTGATCAGTTTGCTGTCACAAATCTGCAGAGTATTTACCAGTTTTTTGAACACCAAATCCAATCTTATTATACGAAAACCTTTTTCATCAAATTTTTATTGGACAGATTGCCGGTAGTTCTCTGACTGAATTTCGAATGCACTCTATTTCTTGATAAGAGTGCCTAGTGTTCATAGGATAAATGAGTGCACAAATATACGCCATGTAATTGTTGAAAAGTCCACCATTTTGAGAATATTCTGTGCTATAGTCTTGCTAGCGAATTTATCTTTTTGACAATTTCACAACGGTTTTTCACCTATCTCTCATAATGGTCTAGAAATTTGTAGGTTTTGGTGAAATGTACGCTTTTTCAACTGGTACTACTGGTATTTTATTTGTTTTATCAGGCGGATTTTGTATCGATTTCTTTAAACTGTATCTTTAATTGGCTATTGTAGATCTCGGACATGTATATGTTTAAAACAACTACTGGCTTCTACATACGTCCAAATAAATGAATCATCTATATTACCATTGGAGTCGTAGTTGTCAATAGATTAAATTGTCTGAATTCAAGTATTTCAGTTATTAATCCAGTCATCCAATAAATGGTTGTGGATACACAAATATATTTATGTTAAATGGCAGGCTTTATGTTTGTTATCATAGCGCTAATGATAAATATCATAAAGCCTGCCATTTGAAATAATGATAGTAATGTTAGTTATCATTTGCCCTTTAGTTGACTTCGGGCTTCACAGAGGGAAAGTCACAAAAAGTCGAAAGGAAAGTGGAAAGGAACATGAAATCGGGTCATGTTAGTTTGAAGTCTGAAGTCAACTGCTGGTTTGTAGACTTTTTTTGCCCTATGAGTGTACGTTGGGCGGGGTAAGTCTATCGCGCACTCCAGGATGCAAGAATAGCCCTATTCTCAATTTGACAGAATTGCGCTATGCCAATTTCCTTATATTTTACCTTAAGTTTATGTCTACCAAAATCGCCAATTATCCCCTGCCTTTTAAATGCCACGCTTTCAAATAGGGCCTAAAGGTATAGTCGCTAAACGATTATGTTGCTATTGTTGCCAAGGTTTGTTCACAAAATCTCGTCATTATCTCGCGTCACACTTTTAACACATCTTTGTTTGTGTGAAATTGGGCAGTGTGCTATTGATTGAAAGTCCCCTTTGGCATTGTTGCCTTCTGATCGGTTTCATTGCCAAGGGTCCTCATTCTCTCATCATCCCTAGATGACGTCTATTTGCGCAAAAAGACAAAGGCAGTATTGATTACTTATCAATTTATGATACAGTTCGTCTGAAGCGCGCCTCCCTTTTTACTGTAAATTGGTATTTTTCTCAGAATACAAGCCAGTGCTGTTTCATCATTCAAACTCCTTTCATTTGGTTAGTTGTTGATTTGTAGATGCTCTTCTACCTATTAGAGTTAAGTCAGCATGTTCCAACCGCTACCAAGTTGTCCGTGGAACGCTCAAGTGGCGTCTCTGCATGCACAAGTCAAGTGCAAGTAAATTGCGCCCTTCTCGTGGGGAGGGGGTGGGGGGCCTATTTGCATGCTGTTTTTGTGTTATCGGCTAAATGGAGCAACTTGTGCGTGTCCTTTTCCCGATTGAAGCGATTGCCAGATTGTTAATTAAAAAAAAAACACTTCTGAAAAATATGTTTAAGGTCACATTTCCAATCCATTCCTCTATACAACCAAGCAATTTCAATTTACAATTTATAATTTTTATTTAAAGTTTGAACCATCGAAGCATCACAAAATTGACATTTTTGTGACAAAAAAACTTATACTTTTGATTTTTTCTAAATCCCATCACGTTGCATGTCGGAAATTGTTCCCTTCTTGCCATAAACTCGCTCATTTTCTACATTAGCATTTCATTGTTGGGAGACAAAGTGATGGAAGATCTTTTTTTACATACATTTAGCTTGATAAGTCCGCTAGAATGCAGTAAACCTCAAATTCGTTGGGGACCCCATCTCAAATTCAATGGTAACGCTCGGGTTTCTCAGAGCCGTACTTATAGCTTATGTCTCTTAGTTTAATAAGGGTATCTTTGTTGCAAACATTTATTTATTTCAAATGGTAGGCGTTTTGATAGTTATCATTAGCCCTTTAGCTGACTTCGGGCTTTACAGAGGGAGGGAACATCAAAGTAACAGGAAGTCGAGGGGTGGGGAACAGAAAAGTGATTCACAGCTGTAAAAGAGACAGACAAAAAGGCAGAGAAAAGGTAGGATGCGTACTGTGGAAGCGGTAGAATATGACATACAGTGGAGTCATGATAGCTTGAACCCAGAAGTCAACTGCCGGTTTATAGATTTTTTTTGCCGTATGATTATACGTTGCCCAGAGTGCACCACGTGGAGGTAAGTCTATCGCACACCCTTGTTGCAAACATAATAGTCCATTCCTCCAGTTTGGACAGTTGGATTAAAATTATCTGCCTATGACCACAGTTTTCGTTTTGTTTTCACGTAGTGCTTAGAGAACAACCTATATTTCCCTACACCTCCAATAGGCTAGTCAGACGGCATTTCACCATAATCATGAAGTTAATTCTCCTAAGAGGGAAATTAACTCAAGGTAATCGTGATTATGCGATTTTGCGGGAACTAAAATAGCCTCTTTCTAATTAGATAAATCAAGGGGGGAGGGCGCGGTTATCTGAGACCCTCGTGAATATGTAGTCACGTTCCGAAGTCGTTTACTTCTCTCGATTTGCTCTTGACGAGTCCAGTCAATAACGATCGATTAGCATGAAATTTTCGTCCAAAGCGTTGACGAAATTACTCAACTATGTCCTTCATCTAGGGCAAAATTGGACACACAATTGAACACCCTGCATTCGTGCCATTTGAAATGAAGTTAATGAACTAGATGAATGCTGCGACTAGTTCTCCTTCTGTGGTTATGCTGAAAACTTGGGGGCTTAATGCTTTTCTGTGAGATTGGAGATAAACAAGATATCAAATTTGTGGCCTTGCTTAGTGCGCGGAATGTTACATGACGGTCATGTGCCGCGGTCAGAACACATATTGACATATGAAATTCGGTCAAAGGCAAGGGCTTCGTCTATTTTTTTACTTAGGGAGAAACTAAAAAAGACGAATAAAATTCAAATTGATAAATTAATCAAAGTCGGCATCTCTCTCTGTGTGTGTGTGTGTGTGTGTTCCTTTTGTGGTATTGGAGGTTGACTGAGTCCTAAGACGACTTCCTTTGAAGCTCGTATGTTTCCTATGCAAAGCAATTGAAGTTGAACTTTTCGCTTATTGGTGGAGTGGTGTTTTTTTATCGCAACCGGCCTAATCCGAGTGCCAATAGAGTTACAGTTGGAGGAAGGAGACTGAGGGTGTTCAGTTCATTTTAGTGGGAAAATGTTATCGATTTTCTTTCAAACTTTTCCCAATTAAGATACATCTCTCGTCAATAGACAGATGTGAAGGTTGGCTTACGTCTAACCACTTAATAGTATATTGTGTCTACTAGCAAAATCACATAATAAATTATTTGCTCTGAAAGTAATGCTCACCCTCATTAATTGAGCATAATAGCATGTAAATTGGGGAAAAAGCAGTCACTGTAAGTCGAAATGT